CGCTCCGGGGTGCGGCCCGAGGCGCCGGGCAGCCGGGGCCCTGAGAGCCTTTGAAGTCACCTCCGAGTCCCTTCTTCTCCAGGGAGCGGAGGAAGACGCGCCGCAGCCATGTCCGCGCGCAGCGCGAGTTCTGACCGAGAGGAGCCCTTTGATGAAGACATTGACGAAGACAAAATCTTGGCCAACTTGTCCCCCGAGGAGCTGCTGGAACTGCAGTCGGAAATGGAGGTCATGGCCCCCGACCCCCGGCTCCCCGCGGGGCTGATTCAGAGGGACCACACCGGCGCGGGGCGCGCGGGGCACGGGGCGCCCGCCCAGGTACCCGGGGACGGCTGGGCTGGCGGGTCCCGTGGCACCGTCGTGACTCAGGATTGCAGGCTTAACGATTAGATCATAGTATTTAATGTTGGAACTTTCTGAAGCACGTACGGCAGAGCTGGGAGGGAAAGTTGGTTATTTCTTGTACATGCCTCTTTTTAAAAAAATGCTGTTGAGTTTGCTGTAGGGAAGCTTGTAGCCTATACGCATGATTTTTAATGAATTAACTCATAACCCAGAAAGAGTTGTCCTTAGTTATTTTTTGGCTCACAAACCCCTTTAAGGAGCTGATGGAAGTTCTGGGCCTTTGCTTCAAGCTCACACATACATACGCAGCATGTCACACACAGTTTCAGCCCCCTGAAGCCCATCCACATGCCTACAGTTAGACCCAGTCGAATAACTAAAAATATCCAGTGCACTGGGTATCAGTGATTAATTTAGAGATTAATATCTATTAAGCTGTTTTAAAGATAGTTTTTTCTTTAATGTTTTTCCATGAAAAGTAGAATTGTGGTCAAATCGGTGAATGTATTGTATATTTGCATATTTTTTCTAATAGTGACCCCCCGAGTAAAGTCTCTTAGTTATCCCTACTGATAGAGAATTTAAACATGTACTGAACTCAAGAAAATAAGTTGCTGGCTTGATATGGTTAGAGTTTGAGGTATAATATTCAGACATTTTACAGTTGGAGTAAAAGCCAATTCTATATGAATTATTTCGGAAAAAGAAAACTGGATACTTCTCACATTTTTTCTTCTCTGTTCAATTTGAACAGCTTGATGGCTGGCTCCCCCTGCTGGGGAAGATGTCAGTTGCTAAGGTCACTCCCAACCTACAACTTATTACAAGCAATAAGGTCAGGTTCTTGGTCCCATGAACCTGTGACTCAAACTGCTACAGACAGCTTTCAAAGTGACACCTCTGAGGTGTACACATTGAATAGGAAAGTGTACAAATTGATGGGCAACAATCTAATAAACACTACTAATAAAGACAGCCACTTTCCTTCCCAGACTAAGCAGTTGTTCCTAAATCTCTGCATAATCCTGTTCCCCTTTGCAGCTGGCTCTGCCTCCTAGAGGCCTCCCTTTGACAGGAACTAACTAGTGAACTTGTCCTTGCAGTAGCCAGGACAGTTTTCATAGAGCTGAGGAGACCAAATCACACTCAAGGCTTTCGGCATATTCCAAAATATCAGACTGCACTCGTTTTCCCCACAATATGTTATGTTTTTAGGGAAACTTGATGTATACAGTTTAGTAGATTAACAATATACGAGGAATGTAAATATTGGTTATGGCAGTAAGGAAAGTATTGTGTAACTCAGGGTTGTTGAATACCAAGCTATGTATTCAGCTATATACAAAACAAAAACTTCAGTGTTTCAGTAGATAACTCCATAAGGTTTTCAAAACAAATAACTGTTAGCTGCCTCTGAAATTGTTCAGCATTTTGAAAACCAATACAGAGTCTGAACACAAAATCTACTAGGTTTCATTTTAACATATGGGATGAGGTAAACACAACCCAAAAATGTGTTTATGTGTAGGTGCCTATAAAAAATTATCTTTATTTTGGCTGTATTTGCTTACCAAACTACTATGTGTTTTAAACTTTGTTCAAAACCTCAAACCCTCTAGAATTATATCCTGTAACAAGTGAATATGCTCCAGATGCTTCCCCTCCTCGGTTAGCTTCACGGTTACCTCTTCCTAAGACATAACTACTAATTTGGTAAATGATACAACAGGCTTTTCCCATGCGCATTTATAAGCTTTTCTGTGGTGTGTTGTGCGCACAAATGGAACACTGCACGGAGCTTGTTTGCTTGCTTTTTCTCGATGACGAGCCTTCTATTGCTTCGGGAGCTGTGCCCCGCCTCCTGTACCCACCGCTCTAATGCTGACCCTCGCCAACCTCTTGCAGGAGAGCTCGCCGGGGCGGTGCGTGGAGCCGGAGCCGGGCCGAGCCAGCAGCAGGGCGCCCCCGACCCTAAAGGAGAAGCTCAGTGACAGAGTTGCCGCAGGTCAAAGGGAGTCGAGGGGCAGCAGCGACCTGCGAGACACAGATAACGAGGGCGATGATGGAGAAGAGGAAGAGGAAGGGGAAGATGACGACGATGATGAAGACGATGATGAAGATGATGATGAAGACAACGAAGATGATGATGATGAAGGCCGGGACGAGTGTGAGGGGAGTGATCAGGACACCACGCGAGGAGAGCGAGGCGAGGCAAAGGAGCCCGCCAGGAACGGTGAGAGCCGCCAGCAGGTCCCCAGCCGGATGTTTGAAGAGCAGAAAGACAGACCAGAGGCCCCAGGAAAGAGTGAGAAAAAAATATCAAAATTAGACCCTAAAAAGTTAGCTCTAGACACCAGCTTTCTGAAGGTAAGTGCAAGGCCTTCGGGAAACCAGACGGACCTAGACGGCAGCCTGCGGCGCGTCCGACAGAACGACCCTGACATGCGGGAGCTCAACCTGAACAACATCGAAAACATCCCCAGAGAGATGCTGCTAGACTTCGTGGACGCGATGAAGAAAAACAAGCACGTCAAGACCTTCAGTTTAGCGAACGTGGGCGCGGACGAGAGCGTGGCCTTCGCGCTGGCTAACATGCTGCGGGAAAACAGGAGCGTCACCACGCTCAACATCGAGTCCAACTTCATCACGGGCAAGGGCATCGTGGCCATCATGAGGTGTCTCCAGTTCAACGAGACTCTGACCGAGCTGCGCTTTCACAACCAGAGGCACATGCTGGGCCACCACGCCGAGACGGAAATATCCAGGCTCTTGAAGGCAAACAGCACTCTCCTGAAGATGGGCTACCATTTTGAGCTCCCGGGTCCCAGGATGGTGGTGACCAATCTGCTCACCAGAAATCAGGACAAACAAAGGCAGAAAAGGCAGGCAGAGCAGAGGCGGCAGCAGCTGCGGGAGCAGAGACGGCTGATAGCCATGCTGGAGGACGGGCTGGGGCTGCCCCCGGGCATGTGGGAGATGCTGGGCGGCCCGATGCCAGATTCCAGGGCGCAGGAGTTCCTCCAGCCGCCGCCCCGCCCTCCCAGCGCCCCGGCAGCGCCCCTCGGTCGGCGCAATGAAGTGACGAAAAAGCCATCGCAGCCCCCTGCGTACAGGACGGACCCTGACTCCTTCCGGGGCATGAAGCTCAAGAGGACCCAGCGCAAATCTCGGATGCCAGAGGCCAGAGAAAGCCCCGAAAAAACCAACCTCAAGGATGTGATCAAAACGCTGAAACCGGTGCCCAGAAACAGGCCGCCCCCGCTGGTGGAGATCACGCCCAGAGACCAGCTCTTGAACGACATCCGTCACAGCAACGTGGCCTATCTTAAACCTGTAAGTAGAAGGAGGGAGGACCGGTGAACGAGCACCACCCCGAATGTACCAGCTGCGTCCTGGTCACCGCAGCACCAGGACGGCCTCGCGCAGTGGGGCGCCCTGGAGAGCTGAATCACTGGTTCTCCCCCAGGACGTGCACCTGCCTAACTTCTAACTCATATTAACAACTAACAGTCACTAAGCACTTACCATAGGCCAGGTTCATTATATGAATTAACTCCCACGATCATCTTAACCCCATAAGGTAGGTAGCAGAAGTCTCCCCATTTCATTGAAAGGAAACTGAGGCTAAGAGAAGTCAAGTCGCTTATCTAGAAGGTACAGGTAGGAAGCGCTGCAGCCGACATGGAAATTCAGTTCTGAGTCCAGGTCAAGCTTTTATTCACTCCAGCGACACAGAGCTGACACTGGAGGTCCTGAGGAGCCCGCTGGAGGGCTAAGAATAACGCCTGGTGATACCTGAATGCTTCCAAACGGCTTAGAAACAGTGGGTTCAATGTTAGCAGATGGAGAGAGACTGGCACTTGCATTTATACTCTGCACTGTGCAGGCAGACAAACGGTAAACTTCAGGTTAGCGTCACCACAGATTAACAGTTTTGAATATTTCACTATTATTTCAGTTTTAATACTCACTATGATGTCACTATTACTGCTGCTGATACGTGAAAATGTCCTATTCCTTGCAGGTTCCGTTATAGGAATAAATTTCTTGTGTCATTACTAAGATAGATTTATGGGGGCTGAAAGTTGTGTGTCCAGGGGTCATGGGTGGGGGACAATTAACTATTATTTTAAAATCTAGTGTGTAATTTAGCCAAGAGATATTGACTAAATAGTTAATATTATTTCATCATAGAGAGTCACAATTTTTCAAGATGTTTTAAACAAATTTTCATGTAAGCTTGTTTTTTTCTATTTCAAAAAGCCATACATTGTAAAATAAGATAGGCGTTACTTATTCATACACACACACACACACACACACGCGCACATACACACGCACACGTGCAGGCCCCTCACTCCTATCTCCTAGTAAAGCAGAACCAACAACACTCTGCTATTCCAAATCAAAACTGACTTTCCCTTAGGACTCTGATTCTTGCTGGGGTGGGAGCCAGGATGAGCACACTGGAGGTCACATGAGGTCAGGTGAGAGTTTTTTGCCTGCCCTTGGGCACAACGTCAAGACTCTGCACCTGCTCCTCTCTGGCAGCCAGACCTCAGTAGGGGGTGGCTGAGGGGTTTGTTTTGAGAGAAACTATCACCTCTGTAACCAGTTATCAGTAAAGCACATCCAGGCTGCCTTGGTGGCAACACAGCCCCAAAATAACATTAATCTGAACAGAATGAAGAGAACTCTTTTTTTTTTCCTTTCTAATATTTTTTGTTGTTATTGTTTAAAATATTACAGATGTCCCTTTTTCTCCCCAATGACCCGTTCCACCCCATTCCACCCCCCTCCCCAGTCCCTCTCCGCACCATTGTCTGTGTCCTTTGGTTGTGCATAGATGCATATAAATTCTTTGGTTACTCTCTCCCCCTCCACTCACCTGCCCCCTCCATCCCTCTGACATTCGTCAGTCTCATCTATGCTTCCATGTCATTGAATCATTTCTGTTCATCAGTTTATTAAGTTCTTTAGATCCCACATATAAGTGAGATCATGTGATGTTTGTCTTTCTCTGCCTGGCTTATTTCACTTAACATAATACTCTCCAGGTCCCTCCATGCTGTTCTAAAGGGTAAGAGATCCTCTTTTACAGCTGCATAGTATCCATGGTGTGAATGTCCCACATTTTTTTTCTCCACTCACCTCCTGATGGGCACTTGGGCTGTTTCCAGATCTTAGCTATTGTAAACTGTGCTGCTATGAACATAGCGGTGCATATATTCTTTCTGATTGGTGTTCCAGGATTCTTAGGATATATTCCTAGAAGTGGGACCACTGGGTCAAAAGGCAGCTCCATTTTTAATTTTTTGAGGAACCTCCACACTGTTTTCCATAGTGGCTCACCAGTCTGCATTTAAATCTACATTGAAGGTGGAATGTGGGTTCAGAGTAGAAGAGAGACTGGAGTTCAGATGATCGTCTGACCCAGCACTCTGCCTTCTGTGGGAATGTTCTGCCGAGCAAACCTGCTTCCCAAGTCTGCTCCACTCCAACCACCCACTTACTCATTAATGCAACAAGTATTTACATGGTGCCCCATGTGTCAGGCACCCTCAAGGGGTCAGTGATGCCACAGGGAGTAAGACAGGTGCAGTCCCAATGTCATGGAGCATACAACGTCGGTTCTATCATCTTCATAATCAAAACACTCTGCTCTTGACGCAACTGAGAACACTTGTTTTATGCCCAGATCCTAAAGCAAAACACACCTAAATAGATTCATGATGATAATTGCAAAATGTACCACCCTACTAAGTACTACATTCTACGTTTTCAGTCAATTCTAAAATGTTACCAATTTTAGGTTGTGTTTTCTAATGAGCGCTTAGAAAAAGCATGCTTCAGAGCACACGTGGAACTGGTTTTTAATGACAGTCACTTATCTGAGCCTCTGCTTTGAAATGCCTTTAGTGTGTTCAAGGGGTTGGCAATTTCTGCTGCTTTCAGTGCCTGGCTTGGCCTGCAGTAGGCGCCACAGCATGCGCCGCAGTCACAAAATGCCGCATAGCTTCACCACGTGGTCCTGTAAGATGTCCTTGAGGAAATGAACAAGCCTCGGTCCGCTGATGAAAATTCGCGTCACCCATGTCAGTCTGCTCCCACTGCCCCGTTTTGTGCTGTGCTACATACACAATAAATTTCTGCTTTAACACCAAATCATAGTGTAATCTTTAAAAGCCTCTTTAAATGGTTTTATTTTGAAATCATTTTAGACTTACGTAAGTTCAAAAGTAGTACAAAGTATTCTTACATACCCATCACATTTTGCCACATTCTTTAAAAGATAATTTAAATGGCAATACACCTGGGCACGTGTAGAGCCAACAGAGCATGTAGCTCAGTGGAGGCGCGTGTGTTTGCTCAGGCAGCCGACCATTGTAAACACCACTGACTGTATTCAGGGCGGTTCCGATGTCACAAAATGTGCATCTTCAACTCAGCAAAATATGGTGAATGCCATCAGAGGTGACATCACAAAGTCCAGCACAAAGGGGTGTCCTTGGCAGTCAGATGAGGCGCAGCTACACTCCTATGGAGAAGTGAAACTAAAGGTTTGGGGGTCCCCCCCACGCATTGGAGGGCAGAGATGCTCTCCAAAACTCTGGACTTCCAAGGGTAAGGTTGAAATTAAAATACAACTTTGAAATTCCATGATTTTTCTTTTTACTGATGTTCCTATTTAGACTACTGAATGCCAAACATGTTGTTAGACATTACTTAGTCCCAGAAAACTTAAAGAAAAAGTCTATTTCCTCTCATCAACTTAGAAATATTATTTTTGTGTTTTCTAGAGCATGTCTTATTAAGTAGTCCACTTATATTTTAAGATTGTATTTTTTCATTTTAAAGTTTATTCTCCATCACATGCTTCTGGCCCAAGACCCCTGAAATGAAGCTGCCAGCAGAGAATAAAGGAAAACCTGTTCACCTTGCTTGGCTCAAATGCTGCCTCCTCCAAGGAGCTGCCCATCTAATTTGGCTTAAAGGAGACGTGTTCTGTAGGCCAGGTATTAAAAGCTGCTGGACTATGGGCCAGATCTGAAAGCCCATTTTATTTGGCTTGAGTATTACTATATAAAATAAAAGACATCACATTAAAATATCCAGCTATCTGGCACCACTTGCAACATCATACCTGCCCCACTAGGCTTGCATGTGCATGGCACAGGTCAGCTGGCTCTGCGCTGCCCTGTCCGGTTTTCCTCAGTCCCCACCGTGCCCTGCTGCCTCACACCGGGCCTGCTTCACTCATTTCCATTACTTATTTGGCTCCTATAGAATTTTTTCATTTTTGTTGCTCTTGTTTTTAGCGTGTTTTGTCTAACAAACTGAATTTATTAGATAGTGACTATGAGTTAATTGCTTATAATCAATATGATAATAGCCCTAAACAAAGACATTAGGCTTGTACCAGTTTATCCCTCAGTGCAAATGTATGATCTTCCGTTTGAAGTCTGTAGTCCGTCCACTGCCCCCCATCTGAGATGAGTTTACAGCCTTCTCTAAGGCCAACTGCATGTATGTTACATGCAGGCTGCTGTGGCAAACAAGGTACCTTACCATCCTCTGCGTCCCTCTGTGGGCTCACTACGTGCACATCTGCGTGCTTCCAGCCGGTACTGCACACACTCTAGCTTCCTCCTTTGGAAAGACTGTAGTATAGTAAGAGCATGAACAGCCCTCCTGAGCCAAAGGGCCCAGGACACTGGAACAGTGTTGTGCGCACAAGGTGCAAGAGCCTGGACTCTCGAGCCTCCCTCCCATCTCTGGCCGTCTCTCCCATGTCTCGTCTGTAAGACGTGCTGTGTCTTTATCTAGGTTCTCCAGACCCTCTCCTTCTACAATTTTTCTCTCCCATCTTATCTTCTCCCCTGGTTTCAGCTGCCAAATAACCCTGACAATCCCCAGGTCTCCCTTTCCCCGTAGATCACACAAGGTTTCCTCGGCCCTTCATTCGATCGGCGCCCAGATCAAGCCCTTGCTGGGCAGGCCTGGTCATTGTTTCCAGTTCCCGTTTCCCTGGTACCTCCCTCCTCACACACTCTCCGTGTGAAGCCCCTGTGTTGTCTTTAACTCCTTCGTCCTGCTCCTTTTTCTTGCCTCCAGAAAAGAGCCCAGGAGAACCTATAGCCCCAGAGCCTACACTGGGTCGTTGCTTTGGAAAAGTTATGCTCCTTAGAAGGAGATCTCCACGGGAGAAAGCAAGGTGACCTTTCAAACTCATCTCAAAGAAACGTCTGCGCACCCGCAATTATATGGGCCATAAACTGCCCTTTCCCTAAAGCTAGACGGAAAAGAGTCTTTGACGCAGGCTGGGGCAAAACAAGGTCTGCAGTTGTGAGTCCACAAAACAGAGTTTATTCTTGGGTTGTTATTTATTTATTATTGTATTATTTTTCATATGAACTGCTGCAAACCTCCTTTTGCCCCACCCTGTATATTGCTTTTCTAGCGCCTGTGGGAGTGATTCTCAAGGTTTAGCATCAAACCACCTGGAAGGCTAAACACAGGTGCCGGAGCACCCCCCAGAGTTTCTGATCCAGTAGGTCTTGAATGGAGCTTGAGAATTCACATTTCTGACAAGTTTTTTGGTGCTGCTGCTGCTTTGGCGACTGTACTTGACCCCCACTGTTCTGTGACATCCATGGCAATCCACATTCTCGAGATTTTCCCTGACGGGCCTCTTTTCCTACCTCCACAACACCCTCTGCTCAAATTACCTTTTATTCTATATGTGTTGAAATGAACCCAAAGGCCAGGCTCAAAGGTATCCTGGACACCCACTGAGGTGCTGACCAGAGCAGGAATTCACCCAGGTGTGAGGAACTAACCTTTGGGGAAGTGGGTCCTCCTGCCCTGCCAGCCTGGTTCTTGCGTGTGTGCACATGCATGCGCACTAGCAATGCTATATACACGTGTGCATGCTACACACACTTTTTATTTTTATTTTTTTAATTTATCTTTATTGTTAAAAGTATTACAGGTGTCCTTTTTTTCCCCCCCATTGACCCCCTCCACCTTGCTCCCACCCCTTCCCCAGGCCTTCGCCCCATTATTGTCTGTGTCCACAGGTTATGTATATATTCATATAACTTCTTTGGTTATTCTCTTCCCATCCCTCATCTCCCTTCCCTCTTCCCTCTGAGATACAACAGTCTGTTGCCTGTGTCAATGTCTCTGGATCTCTTTAGTTTGTCAGATCCTTTTGTTCATTAGCTTCTTCTTAAAGAAGACCCTTCAACATTTCATGTAGTACTGGTCTGGTGGTGATGAACTCCTTTAGCTTTTTCTTATCCGTGAAGCTCTTTATTTGACCTTCAGCTCTAAATGATTGCTTTGCTGGGTAGAGCAATCTTGGTTGTAGTTCCATGTTTTTCATCATTTTGAATATTTCTTGCCACTCCCTTCTGGCCTGCAAGGTTTCTGTTGAGAAATCAGCTGACAGTCTTATGGGCTCTCCCTTGTAGGTAACTAACTGCTTTTCTCTTGCTGCTTTTAAGATTCTCTCTTTGTCTTTAACCTTTGGCATTTTAATTATGATGTGTCTTGCTGTGGGTCTCTGGGTTCCTCTTGTTTGGGACCCTCTGTGCTTCCTGGACTTGTAAGTCTATTTCTTTCACCAGGTAGGGGAACTTTTTCTGTCATTTTTCAAATAGGTTTTCAATTTCTTGCTCTCTCCTCCTTCTGGCATCCCAATAATATGAATACTGGACTGCTTAAAGTTGTCCCAGAGACTCCTTACACGATCTTCATATTTCTGGATTCTTTTTTCTTTTTGCTCTTCTGGTTGGGTGTTTTTTGTTTCCTCATGTTCCAAATTGCTGATTTGATTCTCAGCATCCTCTCCTCTACTGTTGATTCCCTGTAAATTATTCTTCATTTCAGTTCGTGTAACCTTCATTTCTGATTGGTACTTTATTATATGATCTCACTAGTTTCCATAATAGTTTTACTAAGATCCTTGAGCATCCTTATAACCATCATTCTGAACTCTGTATCTAGTACCTAGCTTGGCTCTATTTCATTTAGTTCCTTTTTGGGAAATTTCCTCTGTTCTTTCCTTTGTGACATGTTTCTTTGCCTCCACATTTTGGCTGCTTCCAGGTGTTTGTTTCTGTGTATTAGGTAGAGCTTCTATGTCTCCTGGAATTTGTAGAGTGGCTTTGTGTAGTAGGTGTCCTGTAGGGTCCAGGGGCTCAGACTCCCCAGTCACTTGAGCTGGGCCTTCTAGGTGCTCTGGTGTATGGGCTGTGTGCACTGTCCTGTTGTAGCTGAGCCTTGGTTTCTGTTGGCAGCACAGGGAAGAATTGATCCCCAGGCCAATTGGCTGTGAGGACCAGCTGCAACTACAGTCAAAGAGCTGCTGTGCTGGAGACACCCCTATGGAGCAGGGTTTACTTCAGTGGAGCTTTGGCGTTCACCAAGTGCGCCCCTTGAGTGTGTCACTCGTGGATGTGGTAGGGTTGTAATCCAGCATGGTAGAGTCTGACCACCAGGTGCACTATCTCTGGGGCCTCCCAGGAGGTGCAAAGTCAGCCTCTGCCTGTGCCTTGCCCAGGGCCACCCAGCATGAGCTACACAGCAAACCATAATTAGCTGCTACTTGTGCTCAGCTTGGAGGTGTCCAGGAGAGGCCAAGCTATGAACCAATGCAGGCTGCCACTAGTACCAGGCCTGGCGCCACTTACTGAGATGTATGGGGCACAATGAGGCCAGCTGCTGCTTGTTTGAGAGATTTTAGGAAAGTCATAAGCATGAGGCTAGAGAGGCCACTTGCATGAAAAAGCCACTGGAAATGGCTTGGATGAGCTTGCAAGTAGGGAGGGGCAGGGTCTCCAGGAATCACCAGGGTGGGGCCAAAGGTACACACACTGTTTTTAAAAAACGAATTTTAATCAAGTGAAGGGGGCATGGGCCCCCCTAACAATCCTGCAAGTTGATTCTCAGCTCTTTGTAAGTTTTATATTTTTATGACACCAAATCTACCCATCTTTCCCTTTGTGGTTTCTGGTGTTTGTGCTCTGCTTAGAAATGGTTTCTCTTGAAGATTATTAAAATATTTGCCTATATTTTCTTGCTGCTCTTATAGTTTGGGTTATTTTAATATCCCATAGCACAGGAAAATTAAAGGATAAAACTTTAGAAGTAGAAAGTAAGAAGTCTGCTTTGTTATTTCTTTTCCAAATAGCTAACCAATGGTCATCTAGTGGCTCTTTTCCATGTGTCAGTGATCTGAACTGCAACATGGTCATATTTTAAAGTCAATATGTCTTGTTTGCAATATTGGGTCAGTGCCACATTCTGCTTTTTAAAATATTTTTATTAATCTGGAGCCCTTCATGCATAGAAACATATATTGGAAATAGTGCTGTATAAAATGTTTTTTTTTCCACTCAACAATACAAAAAACATGCTGTTTTACTTATTTATGCTGCTTTGCAACTTTTTTTTTTTTTCCTCATTGGGTCCTTCACTGTTGGTGTTCTCCCTGCGGGGCTTCTGCCAAGGTGCAGTCACACGATCCCTCCTGCAAGGCTGCCCCTGGGAGAGGCCAGAAACTCGAAGGAGCCGGTGGGGTGAAGGGTGTGCTGGCAGCAGCAGCACCTCAGAGGTCCTCTCCGGTGGGCAGAATGCTGCGAAACCTTTCCAGACAAAGGTCATGGGCAGAGAACTGGCTGTAGGAGGGGCCAAGAGAGCTCATCACAGTGGCAGGGAAGCATGGGCAGCTCGGGAGGAGAAACAGCTCGGTCACTGTTACTCAAACTCTGTGTGTCCTCTGGACTCTTCAGCATCCCCTGGAAGGTGGCATGTACGTGAGGATGTGCCACCCTCTGGAGATATAGCACCACTGGCAACCCTTAAAGAACTTGCCTTAAGTTCCTATGAAACAAAGTGACAAGTTCATCTGCAGTCAGACTTATGCTTCTCTTTTGTGAATAACATTTTGGTTTTAAATTTTATTGAGCACCGAAGCAGGAACCTGCTTCAAACAGGAAAGACAGGTTGTTAAAAGGAATGTATATTCACGTGGTGGTATTTTTTTGGTGGTTAAGACATGAGTACTGAAATCAGACTGATCTGTGCTTAAATACGGCTTTGCCACCTCCCAGCTGTGTGACTTTGAGCAAATTACTTGCCCTGCCTGAGCCTGCACCTCTTTACAAGGCCGTTGAAGGATGAAATGAGAAAGTGTTTTAAAAATAGGTGTTATAAAATAAACAAACAAAATGAAACAGACTCATAGATGCAGAGAACAGGCTGATGGTTAACAGAAGGGAGGAGGGTTGAGGGGCTGGGTGGCTGGGGGCTGGGTGGAAAAGGTGGAGGGATTGGTAGTTACACAGGGATGTAAAGCACAGCACAGGGAATATAGTCAATAATATCTTAATAACTATGTGTGGGGCAGGGGGTACCTGAAATATCAGGGGGGAACCCCTGTAAAGTACTTGATTACCTACCACTATGCTGTGCACCTGAAACTAAACAGAATAATATTGGTGTGAACTGCAATTTAAAAAGAAAGGGAAAGCAAAAAATAGTGTTAGCATTAATTACTACCTTGTATTCCTTGTATTCATCCTTAAAAATAGCCTTGTGAGTTAGGTACTCCTATTGTTGTTTTGCACCCAAGAAAGTTGATGCCAACACCACCCAACCAGTAGGGGCGAGTCCCAGGATGCTGAGCGCGGGCGGCCCCGCGCGCCCTCTCACGATGTGCCTCACCATGCGCTCAAAGCCGCGGGCCGGCTCCTGGCATCAGCAAATGCCCGAAGAATGGTGCCTGTGGTGGTTGTTTTCTCATGATTTCAGGGGCTCTCTGGCCAGAATTTCTAATCCATTATACATCCTTTGAGGCATGTAAATGTTGTCATTTTTTGCTATAAAGCTCTTGAATTCCCAGGATTAATTTCCCCCTTTCCTCCAAATGTCTAAATCACAGGTGCAACTGCCAAAAGAACTGGAATAATCTAGAAGAACAGCATTGAAACAACGACCCTGGATTAGAGTTCAGAGTCTGGGTCAGCGGCATCGCTCCGGACCCAGGGGCAACTGGGAACAACGCTCACGTCCGATGGGAGAATTTTGTAAAAGGCAGAACACTTGGCCTGTGACAAAATAGTGTCTGGAGAGGAAGAGGAAGGAGGTTAAGTGTTAACATTCAGGGGTGACATTTTCTACTCCCAATCAGCTTGAGAAGCTTTGGTGAATTTTAGCCATGCTTCCCGCACAGAAGTTAAAAACCATTTTTTGTGAACGTCTGCTTTGCTATTGCTTCCTTCCACTAAACAGCGATAAATACCGTAGAAGTGGTAACTCTCGTAGCTCCGTTCTCCCCTCCTCCCCTCCCGTCCCCCCTACTGTAACCCACCGTCTCAAAGGAGCAGAGCACCCTCCACCCGCGGGCCGGTGCGGGCCGAGTGAGCTCCAGGCCTCTGCTTTGAACTGGAAGCTTGTTCCTTAGCTCTTCTCCCAGCACCAGCTGAGAAGAGTTTCCGCCCCTGCCTGGCTTCTCCCTTGGGCTCCCTGGTGTTTGGGGATATACTTCTGATAGAGGTTATCTGTGAGGAGCAGAACATCTAAGCCACAGGACATGGAGAAAACAAAGTGTTTCCAGAAAAACTCATGGAGAGAATAAACCCTGCGTATACACAGACCCTCCCTGTTTCCACACGCACAGGAGCAGGGGACACGGCATGCTACCTTTGTAGAAATAATACAGTTACTGAGAAGCTTTTGGTTTTAGCTAACTATATCTGTTTGTTGTTTTTAACCTTAGTCTGTGAATCTTAGTTGACCTTGTTGCTCTCCTCAGTCTTCTGCATGAAACTTGCCCTGTATGAGGTTAAACAAATTCCTTGTTCTGCCTCGCAGGCCTCCAGGGCCTGGCCCCGGGGCTCTGATCCAGTCCTATTTGCCACAGTCCTCATGCTCCTGATGAGACACCCACATGTACCCCCATCCCTTCGCTCTCATCGGCCCCTCAAAGGTGTACCCCCAGAGACTTCCCTCCCAATCTCCATGTATGACTGTCCTGCCCTGTCTTCAAAGCCAGTCAGGTCCCAATCCTCCGCAAAAACCTTCCAGACAACCCCAGCCTCAGTGCTCTCTCCTCCTTCCAAGTTCCCAGTCACTAGGTACATAGAATCTGAAATTTTTTATAGAAGCGGTGTGAACCCTAGAAGTCAGAAAATCACAATTTGATGCCTTTTCTCACTTTCTCACCTGAGTAAATAATTGGCATCTACCTTCTTTCTCCTTTTATATAAACACAGGTGGCACACAACCAGCCAAAAGGGTTAAAAGAATGGATCTAATGGAGACAAACTTAAAACAATACATTATTTGGAAGGACAGGACAAGCCACTGTAAAGAAATATGGTGTTTCTATTTTCTAAAGCTAATTTAGTGTGTACAGAAGTATCAAATTTAAATAGTTATAGTTATCAATCAACTAATTTTAGAAGAGCCAGCAGCTAACATTTTTGTTTTATCCTGCATTATTATTTCTATAAAACATCCTTTTACATAAAGCAGGATAGTTAAGAAAGGTCTACAATAAATAAGCTTAAGTGTCTAGCCCATTCTACATCTAAAAGACCAAACTGTGATAGAACAAAGTGCTCTTATCCTGTTTAAAAATGTTAATGCAGCCTGGCCAACGTGGCTCAGCGGTTGAGCGTCAACCTAGGATCCAGGAGATATCGTTCGATGCCCCATCAGGGCACATGCCCAGTTTGCAGGCTCCATCCTCAGCAGGGGGCGTGCAGGAGGCAGCCAGTCAATGACTCTCATCATTAATGTTTCTATCTTTCTCTCTTCCTCTCTCTGAAATCAATAAAGATATATTAAAAAAACAAACAAAAAATGTAATGCATACTAGTGGTTGAAGTTCCAGAGAGCCCTTACCCATTTGCTTGTATAGCCACAGTATTAATAAAGTCAGGACTTTCAAAAAGGAATAAGAGTCCTGAAGGAGGGCTTTAATCTTAGGTGTCCAAAAACACAAGGTGATCCAAATTCATAGCTTATTTCTCAATACAACAGGTTTTGTCAAGAGACTGGTGAAATTGTTCACATTATGCTTTTCCGTCCACCCAGTCCCTCTCTAAAAATCTCTAAGTTGAAGATTTTAATTTGTTTTTAAAATGTAATAATTTCCTCCCAAATGTCTGCTTCTCGCCTGACTGAAAGGGGGTCTCAGGCCTGGGTTGGAGGTCATCAGGTTTGCACCCTGCCTGTTTAGACAGATGCTGTGAGGTGGGCCTGGGGCCCGGGGCTGTTACTGCCATTTGGAAATACTCAACATGCACAGACCCAGACTTAATGTTTTTATGACATTTTAGTGATAGCAGACCCTGCACAAGTGGACGGCCAAGTCACTACTGTGAAGAGACAAAATAATGGGAACAGCTTTTCCAAAGAGAATGAAAAAATCACGTTAATGTCTGCATTTTACCACTGATCTGAGTGCATCCTTAGAAAACTGAATGTAACAAAAACCCAGGACATTTTTGGAAATTGTATGCTCTCTAGTAACTTTGTGTGAATTATAGAAAATGTCATTAAAAATAGAAAAAAAATGTAATAGTTTATAGCATTTTCATGCTACTTTTCCAGAAATGACACTTGCTATTACTAATTAGAATGAGTCCATTTTCAAATTTCAAGTTGTCACTTTCTCCAAGTTTATTGCGTTCAGTCAGCAGAAAACACCTTGTAGAAAATGGAAGGGGCTAAAATGTGTATAAACCCATGTCAGGTTTAAAAAGGACCTCATTGGGACATCAAAATTACAACTAAACTACAAAACAACCGCCATTCAGAGCCACCTGAAATCTAGCTGAATGGAAGTCCTACCACTAAGGATATAAAGAAGAAGCCACATCGAGACTGGTAGGAGGGACAGGGACATGGAACGGGCTGGTTCCACACCTACTTATGGCAGATAAAAATCGGAAGGGATATCTCGACAGTGGAGGTTCCCCTTGAGGACCAAGGGGTCCCAGCCCCACACCAGGCCCCCAAGCCCAGGGTTCCAGTGCCAGGAAGAGGAGTCCCCATAACTTCTGTGAAAACCAGCGGGGATTGAGGCTGAGTGAGACGGAGCCTGCTGGAGTCCCAGGTGTTCCTTTTAAAGGGCCCACGCATGGACTTACTCAGACTCACTCCCTCTGAGCTCCAGCACAGGTGCAGCAGCTTGAAGGGCAGCAGATACACACAGGAACTGAATTCTCTGGCATCAGGACCAGGGCTAGAGGGGTGGCTTTCTCTCAGACAGAAGTGGAGGCAGCAGCCATTGTTCCTTTGATGAGCCCTTTCTTCACAGAGCTGTCAGTAAGCAACAATATCTGAGACTCCATCAACCTGGTTCACACTGTTTGCCCCACCCTAGTGATTTCCTGAGACCCTGACCCACCAAACTTGCAGGCCCACCAAAGCTGTTTCCCAGTGGCTTTTCCATACAAATGGCCTGTCTTGGCTCATGCCTCAAACTTTCCTAAAATCTCTCAAACAAGCAGCATCTGGCCTCAGTGTGCCCCTTTCTTCTCACTAGGTGGCTCCAGGCCCAGCACTAGTGAAAGCCAGCCTTGGTTCACTGCTTAGCCTCTCCTGGGCACCTCTAAGCCCAGCACAAATAGCAGCCATCTACATATTGCTTTGTAGCTTATGCCAGGAGGCTCTGGGCAGGGCACAGGTGGAGGCTGACCTTGACCTGCACCTCCCAGGAGGCCCCAGAACCAGACCATCCGGTGGACAGCTTCAGGCCACACTGAAGCACCATCAAACCACCTCCACAAAGGACACACTCAAGAGATGGATTCAGCGTGCACCAGAGCCCAGTTAAAGTAAGTCCTGCTCCTTGGGGTGGGCCCCTGCACAGCTGACTCTCCACAGTTCTCACAGCCAGTCCTTGCAGCTGATTGGCCTGGGAGTAAATCCCTCCTATTGAGATGCCAACAGCAATCAAGACTTAAATACAACAGGAGGGTGTACACAGTCCCCACAGAGGTTGGGGGACACACCTGGAGTGCCCAGCTCAGATGAACAGGGAGGCTGTGCCACTGGGCCCTACATGACACCTACTACATTAAGGCCACACTCTACCAAGCCCTGGAGACACAGAAGCTCTACCTAATAGATAGAAACAAACATAGGAAGGCTACCAAATGAGGAAACAAAGAAATGTCCCAAATGAAAGAACAGAACAAAACTTCAGAAAAAGAACTAAAAATGGAGAAAAGCAGTCTACTAGATGTAGAGTTCAAAACACTGGTTATAAGGATGTTCAAGGAACTTAGTGAGAAATTCAACAGCATAAAAAATGATGTGGAAGCCATAAAAAAAGAAGCAGTCAGAAATAAAGGATATGCTAACGGAAATGAAGAATAATTTATAGGGAATCAACAGTAGAGTAGATGAACCTGAGAATCAAATCAGGGATTTGGAAGATAAGGAAACAAAAAACATCCAATCAGAACAGCAAAAAGAAAAAAGAATCCAAAAAAATGAGGATAGCATAAGAAGTCTCAGGGACAACTTCTAGCATACCAACATTCACATCATAGTGTTGCCAGATGAGAAGACAAATAGCAAGAAACTTAAAAACTACTTGAAAACATAACGACAGAAAACATCCCTCACCTGGCGAAGAAAATAAATTTACAAGTCCAGGAAGTGAAGAGTCCCAAACAAGATGAACCCAGAGAGGCCCCACACCAAGACACATCATAATTAAAATGCAAAAAGTTACAGACAAAGAAAGAATCTTAAAAGCAGCAAGAGAAAAGCAGTTAGTTACCTACAAGGGAGAGCCCATAAGACTGTCAGCTGATTTCTCAACAGAAACCTTGCAGGCCAGAAGGGAGTGGCAAAAAATATTCAAAGTGATGAAAAACAAGGACCTACAACCAAGATTACTCAGTAAAGCTGCCATTTAGAACCAAAGGACATATGCATTGCTTCCCAGACAAGAAAAAGTTAAAGGAGTTCATCACCATCAAACTAGTATTACATGAAATATTAAAGGATCTTCATTAAGAAGAAGGGGGGAAAAGATTAAAAAAAAAAAAATGAACAATAGCCTTGGCTGGTGTAGCTTAGTTGGTTGAGTATTGTCCCATGCACCGAAATGTTTTGGGTTTGACTCCTGGTCAGGGCACATGCCTGGGTTTCGGGTTTGATCCCCAGTGGGCAGCATGCAGGAGATAGCCTATGGATGTTACACTCTTACATCAACGTTTTTCTCTAAAAATAATTTTTTAAAAAATATGAACAGTAAAATTGCAATAAATACATATCTATCAACAATTGAATCTATAAAAACAAAATAAATGAACAAGTGGAACAGAAACAGGCTTATAGATACAGAGAACATTTTGAAGATTGCTAGATGGGGGTGGTTAGGGGAATGGGTGAAAAAGGTGAAGGGATTAAGAAGTATGAATTGGTTACAGAATAGTAATAGGAATGTAAAGTTTAGCATAGGGAATACAGTCAATAATATCCTAGTAACTATGTATGGTGTCAGATGGGTATGCTGCAATGATCACTTAGTAAATTATGTAATGTCTAATCACTGGGTGATTACCAGAAATATACTGGAAATATAATATTGTATGTAAACGTTAATTGAAAAATCAAAAAATGATTAAAAAATTTAAAAAGGATCCCATTGGAATTCAATTTTATTCTGGCTGGAAATTAATAAATTATTAAGGTTTTATTAAGCACTATGTGAAACACAAGCTGTTTGCTTTGTAGTGTATCATTTATAGGGTTGTCACTGAGTTTCTCAGATATTTAACACAGATGTGCATTAAATAAAGCCTCACACAAAAAACTTTGAAACATTTTATTCTTCATATGCAGGTCAGGGTACAATTCCTAGACCATGTCTGTGAAGACGTGATGACATTAAGTGTGCTAGAGATGAAGGCAGCAGGTTGGCTGAGAAATTAAAATGCAAGAGAAGTCAGGAGCAGTGAGTGCTGTGGCCTTATTCTCAGACGCGCGGACCCTCTTCACAGATTTCTGCTCCAACTGTCTTCATGATTTCGCTGGAGGGAAGCCAAAATGTTTTCTGTTCACCTGTGAAATCACTTTGTATAACCTATTTCTAAATACATGGGAAATGAGAGGAAGAATAGAATATAAAACACATGGTATCTTAATTCTGATGTCTAGCTATGAAAACACATGGTTGTAACTACTGCTACTAAAGTTTTAATGAACTGCTGAGGCTGGTGATCACTCCCACTTTCACTCCCTTTTTTTAAATAAGATTTTTAAAAATATGTTATTGATTTTAGAGAGAGAGGGAGAGGGATGGAGAGATAGAAACATCCATGGGAAACATCAATCGGCTGCGTCCTGCCCACCCTCTACTGGGAATCAAGCGAGTAACCTAGGCATGTACACTGACTGGGAATCGAACCAGTGACCTCTTGGTTCATAGGTGGCCACTCAACCACTGAGCCACACCAGCTGGGCTTCATTCCCTTTTTTTTCATTTATCTTTATTGTTGAAAATATTACAGATATATCCCCCCGTTTTCCCCACTGATCCCCTCCACCC